AAGGACAACCTTTTTTCATCCACTTGGGCCTTGAAATCTTGGAACCTCCCGTTGAGGGATTTCAATTGATGAGTCAGCTGGGTAAAGTCGCTGGAAGCCGTTGCGGCTTTCTTTTGCAGGTCCTGCATGCAAAAATCCGTCATGTTCAATGTGCAAACGCCATGTGCAGCCACTACATATTTAGCACCACGAGGGTAGCATATTAGTGGATGACTGGTCATGTTGCAAACAAAAATTGGGGCTTGGGCGTGCCTGAACACCGAGTCGTTATGTTTGTAAACCACACAATGGGCCAAGAAAGCGATGCATTTTTTTATTTAGTATTCTGATCGCAACACAATCAATGCCATTTCAATCAGTTTAATTCATGTCTGGAATTGATAGGAGATTCGGCCAACCATGATTATACCACTTTGACGAATTGTGTACCAGAATTTTGGCTCTTTCCTCATTGGACTTCCTCTGTATCTCCACAGTTCTTTCTTTCGTCCTCTCAATTTCTGCACACCCACACAACGCACACAGTTATGTATGAATTTGAGCATTTTCGACGTGTAACATGTTACACGGCCCCAGTGTGTTAGTGAAATTTATAATATCACCAATACACAATTATTTATTCCATTATGTCGATAACAACACATTCGAGAAAACCCGACACTGGAGAACAGCATATACTGCAAGGATGCAGAAATGTAGGCGATAGTCAGTGGAAATAGATGTTCATATTCTCATAGATGAAGGAATACTACAAGAAGTTGAGATCATATTTGGAACAGCGCGGTGTACGATATTTGTTTCAAATTCGCGGCATGACATCACGCAGCAATAATCTTCTGGATCTAATCTTCTACTGCCGCAATTTGAGGTGCAATGTACCTATCATGGCACAGCTAGCATAGTTCCTTCACAGGAGATTTATTCAACACGCGGCATGCATACAAAATTCAAGTTATATCATTAAGATGCCACACAATATTGTACAGGACAAATATGCATGAATCTTCACAAATCCTCAGCAGTCTTCCCGAAATCTTCATAAATAAAAGAAATTCAGGAAGCAAATGTAACACGATGCAGCGCAGTTTGACTCCGAGCACTAGATTGTACATCCTGTCGCACCTGCTCTCGCCGCCTCCATCTCATTCTCAAGTTCCTTCAATTTCTTGTCCTCTTGTCTCTCGTCAAGCTCCAAATCCGCTTTCCTGTTCTCGTATTCTGAAACACTCAAAACATTAGAAACTCTGCCATCAAACCCTTTCTCCTGAGATCCCATCTTTGGGCATTGCGAACCCATGATCTCACACTTGTAAGAAATGTAACCTCAATTTCAAACGGGCTGCTCGACATGTTAATCAGCACGGGGCTGTGCGCGATCGCGCTGCCGCAACTCCGCCGAAAACGTCATGTGCATTTGCAGAAAAGTAAGCCTCTCCAATGCGCGCTGCTTGATTCAGCAATTATCTATACGGTCAGTGGCCACTGCGCGCCGGGGAGCGCAACAATTGCCTCCGACAGAATCAACGCGCGCCAGTACATGGGAATGTTAGTCCCGGCGCGTCGTATGGGCTCATTTCCGCTCAGCAAAGCACAAAGCTGCCCAAAGGGAAGCAGCAGCAGCAGCTGCTGCAAATGCAGCAGGAGAATTGGGGACGGCCATTGCTGCCGTCGCTAGCGACAGCGCTGTCGGTTAGATCACACTCAACGCATGAGGATGCCTCTTCTCGCCATGCTGGTGGGCTTCAAAACGGACCCACAAACCCGTCCCACTGGCAAAAAAGGACCAAATAACACTTTTTGCGAACACATACATGCATTTCATCAGTGTTATGCATGCTAAAAACAGGGAAATAACACAAACCCGTAAAATTTGTACATGCTTGAGCACGTGTTATTTGGCCCTATTTTTCCTAGTGAGACCCACCCCATCGATCGGGGCACAGTCGAGGCCCTCCTCCCAGTAGTAACAGGCGTCATGCACGACGTGCTGCGTAACACCAAGCCACGACATCTGAAGGGGACAGGCGGGCTGATCGAATCTATGTCTCCGATTCGGGAGCCCAGCTATCAACCAAAACGCCATCGCGAGGTGCGCTTGTCCGATCCTCCGATGTTTGTATAACCACAAGTCACGAGTTCTCAAGGGAAAATTTGAAAGGAACTTCCTTTGGAAAGAATTTTAAAAAGACTTTTGAGGACAAAGAAGTTTTGAACAAGGAAGAAGTGCTGCTAGAATGCGCATGTGTAAGCAATAGCCAATCGGTTGCCCAGAAGTTGAGCGCTGCTGCGCCATGGCCCCTCCTATCGCTGGGCGCACCGTCCACCCGTCATGACCTGTGAACAGGAAATGCGGGCAGACCGAATCTGCAGGTGGGGGCAGGTAGCTCATCGATCGGTCAAGTCGCGATCACCAACACCAGCAGAAAGCGGTACTGTTGCGATGCCTGCTGCGATGCCATTTGACACTAATTGATGCCATCACAGCTGCTCCCATGGCATCGCAATCACTTGGCGTGGCGCCACTTAATGTCCAAATGGTATCGCAGTTGGCATCATAATCGCGGTGCTTTCTGCTGGTGCAACGCTCCATGTCCCTTTCGTCACGGCGCGAGCCGTTCAGCGTCACGATTCCTCAACAGTGCGAAAGTCGAAAGGGAAAGCGCGCTGAAAGGCAAGAACATTTTGAGAGGGAAGGTTGGCCGATCGAAACTCCACGCGCAAGCGCGGTGCCAACGGATCGCCCGAAAACTGATCGCCACCGCGCCATGGCACCGCCGATCGCTGGGCGCACCGCCCAGCTGCCATGACTTGTCAACCGGAAATGTGGGCGGACAGAATCTGAAGGCGGGACAGGCAGCCCGTGCACTTGTCACATACACACATACACTTGGCCGATGGGCCAAGTCGCGATCGCCCAGGGCCCATGGCCCTCCGATCGCTGCGGACACCGCTCAGCTGTCATGCCATCTGAAAATGGGGGAGTTTGAAAGGAAAAGGCTACAGACAGGCAAGAACTCTTGAGAGGGAATGCAGGCTCATCGAACATCCACGTGAGAGTAGGCTGCCAATCGGTCGCCGGAACCGATTGCCACTTCGCCGCGGCGTGGCCGGGGGACGCACCGTTCAGCTGCCGCCTCGCGCCGCGCCATAGCTCCCTGTCGGCGAGGCCAGCGGCCGCGGGGGACACGCCTGCGCGCGCCATGAGCGGCGAATTCGGAACCCCACTGTCCCGGAGGGGGCGGCAAGAAGGCCTCCGAGCTGCTTAGAGCTGGAGCCCCTTCCGTGTTGGAGCGAAGTCCAGGGGTGATTTGGGCGGCCTGGGGCTGGGCAAATTATGGACGGCGGTTGGGATATGGGCGGTTGGAACGAGGGTGAGCTCTCCGGGGAGGCGCGTGTTGCGCGTGTGGCGGGAGCCGGGAAAGGGTGGGGCTGTTTGTTTGTGGCGGTGCCAGAACTGGGTGCGCCAGTGGGCGCCAGCGGGGACAAAGGTGGATTTCGAATTTCGAAATATCCGTTCTATGTTGGCTATTTGCACCACGCGTACAGGTATGGCCTTGAGGCGAGGTGCGCGTGGATCGAAGTCGCGCAGATACCATTGGCAAGAAAGTACTGCCCGTTTCGCAGAGGGCTTTGTCCGATTTCGATCTGCTTTTCCTTGTTCCAAAACGTTGAAGCACACTTGATATTTCAGGTTACTGGCTGTTTTGGGGTGCTGAGCTGCAAATGCATTCATCGATTTATCTGTCCTTTTTGTGAATTTGCAATAAACTCCCGTTAATATGTTAAATTTCCGAAAGTTGGAAACCGAAGTTGATCCGAATCATATCCCGTAGATTTGCCGCGGCGTTGGCGGCATTTCCACAGCTGTGACCAGTGATCCCACTTGCACAGGCAATTCTTAGCATTGGCTCGTTTCGCCCACCACCGATCGACCTTCTCAGGTGCCCCTCTGCCAGCCTCCAAGCGCCACACGATGGGAACGCACATCGACAACGCCTCCAAGGCGCTGGATGACGTGATCCATCGCGGATCATGAGATCCACCGTGCAAGCTGGCCACCGCTTGCATCAACGTAATGATAAAAAGCCATCAGACAAATTTGTCTTTAATTTCGTTTAAACGCAAATTCTCCCGAATGGTTTGGGGTCATTCGTTGCCACAGAAGCTGCACATCGGGGCCCACTGCTGCCGAGTATGTCAGCTACAAGTACCGGACATAAGCAAACTACCGGCCCCAAAGTACCCGCCCCGCGCATTTCGTCCCACCTCCGTACGTCAGTACTGGAGCCTGGGAACGCGATCTCTTGGGCCCGCGGCCCCAGCGGCGGGTCTGTGCGCGGCCCGTCGATTGTGGCCCTGCGGATAACTCGCGCAGCTGCCCCGAGCCTGCAGTACATACGGCGGTGTCCGGCGCACGGAGCCAGCAACCCAAGTTGCTGGTACTGGCCATCGGGATGCCATCGGCCCCCCCGTGCCAATCCCAAAGCCCTCAAATCGCGCAAGCCACAAGCGGAAGCCCGCGGCGCAAGCAGCCAATATTTACCCCCTTGTCCCCTTTGGCCGTCTTTCGGCTCCTTGCGAGGGGCTCTGGACGCGGTCTAGTCCCGAGCGGATCGACGGAACGGGGTTTCAGGCAGCGCATCGGGGCGGTGGCTTGGTGGCTGGGCGAGTGGGAGGGGTTTGGCGGGAGGCCCGGGGGGAGAGAGAGGGGGGAAGGAGGGGGCGCGGGGAGGCGGTGACTGGATCGGCGGGATCGAGGGCGGGATGGGCAACGTGGAGGAGCCGCCGGGGTCGCGATTGTTCGTGGTTTGCGGGAAATCCGCGGAGGTGGGTTCGCTGGCGGGGCCCCCTGCGATCATGTCGACCCCAGTCTACCCCTTGAGGCTCCTTTTCAGTTCTTCGCGCCTTCCCGAGTCGTGGAATCGAGCCAGCTGGTGTGGTGGAATGGGGGTCGCCGAATGGGTTCTGAGCGGGGGGTGTCTTGTGCGCGACAGCCGGAGATGTTGCAGGCGGCGTTCGAGCCCTACGGCCAGGTGCAGCACGTGAAGGTGATCCGGGACAAGGGAGGTGAGCAGCGGACCGGGCGCGGGCGGGGATCCGAGCCGGCGGCCGGCGGCCGGGTCGACGGCCGCAGGTGCGGACTGTACCGCTCTGCCGGGCGCCCTCAAAGCAATGAGGGCGGGCAGACAGGAATCTTCGAGCGCATTGAACGGATGTTTGGAAGGCGGGGAAATTGAGACTGTTGGCTGAGGCAGCGATCGAGGGGCTCGGGGGAGGGCCGGTGAAGCGATCAGCCCGAAGGGGCGGGGGTGGGGGTGAGGGGGGGGATGCACGAACCTCGGTGACGCCCGGCGATGTTGCGCTGGCGCGGGGCCCCAGTTTCTGTCGCGCGTTTGGATCCAACCGGCTGGCTGACGCCGGGGCGCGTGTGTGGGTGGCGGTGTCGCAGTGGCCTACGTCAAGTTCGAGAAGGCGTCGTCGGGCGCCCTGGCCATGGAGAACCTCAACGGGGCCGTGCTCAACAATGGCCGGGGCCCGAAGGTCAAGGTCCTGCTCGCCGAGTCGCCCAACGCGAGGTCGGTGGCCGGAACCGCGATTTCGGACGGGGAGCCTATCGCGCCGGATTGGGATTCAAGCGCCCGCGGCGCCGATTCGCGCTGGCGCCGGCCCGTTGGCCGTCGCCGCCGCCCGAGGGGCGCCGTGCTGTCGGATGTTTCGGAGCGCGCGCCCAGCACATCGGCCCTCACACTTCCCCCACCTTTGATTTCAATCCCAGCGGCCACATTCTCCGCCGCCAATCCCCCCCGCCCCGCCCCCACCCCCCCCCCATGCCCCATTCACAGGACGCCTCCCGCCAACCCGCAACTTCCAACCGCATCCGATCCCCCTCCCCCGCCCCTCTCGTCCCTCAAAGCATCCCTCTCGTTATCCGATGACGGCACTCTTATTCGTCGATCGGGGCACTCGCCTCGAGCCGGCCGGCGGCAGGATCGCCCCCGCTCACGCCCCGCGGGCTGTCGCTTGGGAGGCCCCGGCGACGCTTCGGCGAGGCGGCGCGCGGAGCTGGGCGTCCCCAGGACGCCTGACACGTGGCCCAACGCTGCCACGGACGTGCTCTGCTGACCCACTGCGTTGACCCACCGTGTGACCCAATCTTGGGTCAATTTGAGGTCTTCCGGAAGAAAAGCTGAATTTGCGGCCCAACCGGTGCCAATGCTCTGGACTGATACGGATGCTCAACGTCGGAGCTGAGAGGAGTGCAGAGCTTGACACCCGACACTGATCCAGCAATTCATCTTATTCCCAGGGACAGTTCATTTTGGAGTATTTCTGTTGGCTTGTGGTGGGATGTTCATAATATTTCATTGCAATTTTTGTGCAAACATTTATTGTGGTTTTAGTGCAGTAGATTCCCTTTGTAGTATTTTTCCTGCAGATGCCGTATTTTCAGTAGTTTACAGTAATCTGATTGGCATTGCTTTTTAGGACATGAACTAACGTACAATGCAATATTTTCAGTAGTTTTGTAGTAATTTGATTGGCATTGCCTTGTAGGATCTGAATTAACGTAAACTAACCTAGAATAACTTTAAATCAAGCTAGAACAACTCAATATTTAGGTTACTAAAGTGATTGCCCCTCCAGCGCAGACCCAGCGCCCGTTGAATGCCGCAGGAACTCCCCCCACACGCAGCGACAGCTCGACCTGGAGCTGGCCTTCGACCCCGACAACGTGCCGCCGCGCTCCCGCCTTTTCCTGGTGGTGCCCAAGACGGCCGACCCGCAGGCCATCAAGGTGCGCACGCCGCCCTGTGAATCGTGAGCCGGCATACGGGCCCCAGGGCCCACAAACCACTCAAATTCCCTGGATTGCAGTTGCCATGCATGAATGTTCGCAAGATACAAATTGGCAATTCTCAAATCACAGCCCTTGAGCCCTGTGGGCGAATGTTGCAAGCCACGACCACGCGCATCGTCGCTGTCAGAGCCAGTCCGGGATGGACTGGATCTTGTGTTCTTCGCCACCTCTGCGAGGGGATCGCCGGTGCCGTTGCTGGTGGCCTCATTCGAGATCATTATTTCTTGGCCTGTCTTCGGGCTTGGATACTTGCCGTGGGCGCCGAAGGCGGTTTTGACTACAGAAGTTGTACGGAACTCAATGGCTACCGTCCGACGCATCGGCGTCATCAGCTCGTTCTCGCCGGCTAGGTTTCCCAGACCAGCGCCGGCTGGCCGCACGCATATCCTGGGCCTGTCCTCGTTCAAAGTCGATCGACAAACAGCCCCGTTGAAAGAGGCGGCCAGAAAACAACCTGCTACGGCAGATCGGTGACCATTCGACCATTGGCGACAGCCCAGGGACGCTTGACGACTGGGCATCCTGCCTCGCAGGAGGACATGGGGAAGTGCGCGGATCTGGAGTACTGCAAGACGGACCTGATCGCCTCCAAGGGCGTGGTGTTTTGCAAGTTCCTTAAGGCCTCCGCGGCGCTGAAGACCATGGAGGGCATCTGCGATGCCGGCATGGTGGGTGTCGCCTCCAGGGGCGTTCAGGGATCTCCCTGGACTGTCCAGGACTGCCCAGGTGGTAAAACTTTTTTTTGGTCAGATATCTCCCACTTAAGCTGTTAAACAGAAGAACGACCAAAAGCCAGATTTAGGACCGACTAGGACAGCTGAGGGCAATGCGGCACCTAAACTGTACCAAGGAATGTTCTGTTGAGCCGCCGCAAGGCCGAGGGCACACACGTCGCAATGCTCACCCCGTAGCACTAGTCAGTACCGAATCTTATGCTCTCGCCTTCAGAAATGTTTTTCCATGCCACGATGTCGTCCGGTTTTGGTGCTTCTATGTGTTTTTTTTTCTTGTATTTCCATCGCGGGGTTTCTATTTTTGTGCTGATTTTTGTCGGCGCGCGCAGCTCTGCGGCTACAAGGTGAAGTGCATGTTGGCAGAGCCCAAGTCCAAGAACCCGCGCATGGAGGGGCTCATGCACGCGGGGTTCGGCCCCAGCGTTCAGGTCAGCACCGCGGCCCCACAGAATGCGGATTTCTGCCAAGGACAGCACGCATCGCGTTTCGGACAAATGGTTTAGAAAGTGCAAGCTCAATAAAAACTGTCAGGTGCTGCAATTTCTGGTGGAGTCGCTGTTGATACCGCATTTGTGAAGCTGCAAGTCTAAATTAGTTTGTGTAAACGCCATCATGTGCTTCTGCTGGTTGTACAGAAGTTCTGGTCGCTTGCAAGCATATTGTTGGAAACGTGGTGGACTACACCTGGTGCGTGAATATGCTGCTTGCATAGTATTTGCCCATGAATCAATCGTGGGCGGATTCTGGTATCTCGCTTCGTTAATGCACCCTGCGCGAAAAACGCCATCTCGCAATTTTTTTATTTTACATTTATATTTATATTTATTTTTTATGCCCGTGGCCACCAACCATGGTTTCATGGGTCAATTTCCAACCGCGGGATGAATCCAAGACCCATGTTTGTTGGCAGCCAAGGAGTCATTTGCGGAGTCCTTTTCCGAGTTTTGTCGTCTACAGTCATCTGAGAACATTTAAACTATTGATTGTGTTGTGCTTAACGCGTGTTATGCTAGCCACCAGTTCTCACCGACCGGTGTCGAAATGCACAAATTACGGTTCAATGGCGCCCATTGTGGCACTGTGTCAGTGGGCTTGTTGCAGCGACCATTCACAAGAAACAGCCACAAGAACCAATAGTCAGCTGGAGTAAGTCAACAGTTTTGGCGGCGTTTATTTTTTCGAAAGGATTGACGCGCCATTTCATTCCAGTGCGCAAGCTGAAAATCTTCTTCTATGCCTTCGACAAAACGAAGCGGTCGCCTTGTGCGTTGCAGGCGATATGGACGTGTGTGCAATGTACACTGGAGATCCAAACTCATTTTTGCGTTTGCAAACATTACGGCTGGTGGCGTTGCAACCAGCGCTGCACAGACGTTACCCGCCACAGGTGGCCCACTTGAGATTCCTCCATGCCGTAGCATATTCAAACCTTCCGCATCAGAAGTTTTACCATTATGCTCTTTGCTCTGCTCAGCTTTATTTTTTAATTTTGTTGCGTTGCTTAGCAAAAATTTTGTTAGCAGACTTTCTAAAGAAGGCTTTGTTAGCAAAATGTATGCGCAGCAATGTAACAAAATAAAAAACAACGCCCACTAAAAACAATAAAATTTAATCTGTTCTACGGTTTCCTCCGCAAAAAATGGCCAAGTGCTACGTTACTGTGCAGAAGGATTGAGTAGAGTAAGTTATATGATATACGCCAGATTCGCTACTCCGCCACAGGCAAGAATCTTTCCTGGCCCTTCGTATGAAGATCTGTCCATCTCTCGACAAGGTTGTGTAAGAATCCCATCTCAACAAAGGGGTGCGTTCAGGCAAAAAGCAGCTGCAAGTAAATCCATTCCATGCTATGTCCAAGTGCAAATGACAAAATATACTCCAAGTAGAACACCAGTATTACAGCAGTAATAAGGGGGCACTAAATTATTCAATGATTATTGGAAAGACGCAAAGTAGTGCAAAATGAATGCAGAGGCACCCGGACGTTAAATCGCAACCGTGTTTACTGGAAGCAATAAACAAAACCCAATTAATGCACATCTAATACCTTCTATTTCAGCTCGCCTATTCATGCGTCAAGACTACCTAACACAGCAGCCGCTCACATAGTTTGCGCCCCGTGTCGCAGACGCAGCTGGACTTCAGCATGGGTGGCCTGCACCTTAGCGCGCCCTACACCGCCAGATCCGCCGTCCATGGTAAGTATCTCACCACTAACAGGAATCGCAACTCCCACTCAGTTTTCCTCATTCCTCGCATTGTATACAGGCAAAAAATTGGCCAATACGCGGTTTTGAACCATGTAAAAATCGTGCAAGACCATGTAAGAACCGTGTAGTTTGGCCTGTTGCTTACCAGTGGTATATGGAGCAGTAGGTGTGAATACACATACAATATATCGTATATATTGTGGTAATGGTAATAGTTTTCATGACGATGGTGATGATGTTAAACAACATGGCAATCACAACAGTAATAACGACAGTACATGTATAGTAGTATGGTTATTTGCAATGCAAGTGAAATATTGTGAATCTGCGCAACGGTGGTATAGCAGTATCCTGCTCAAGAACTACCTGAAAATGTCCATGTAGCTGGTAATATCTGCGGTTCAGCAGACACCCCCTGTGTAGTCAAACAACGATCGTTACGTAACAGCAAGTTGCGATATTATATATGTGGTGATCAGCTTGGACTACTGTCGGAGAGTGTCTTATAAAATCTCAGATGTTAATGTGGGTGCCGACTGTGCATGTGTCCGCAGGCGACTTCAAAATTCCTGCGTCACCCTCGGCGATTTCGGGTTACGGTGGTTACGCCCAATATGGCGACGCGCCGCACGGCGGCCTGTCCCAGATGGGCGGCTACTCGGAATATGCCGGCGGCCTGAACACAATGGTGCAGGGCCTTAGGGGCCTCCCAGGGTTGGGCGGAAATGCGAACGGCATGGGCATCGGGAACTTGGGCGCCATGCAGGTACTGTGCGTCATTGCGAACGAGTAGAAAAATTTCTACAAGTAATTTTACTTGTCGCGCGGGAGGCCAAACAACACTGTTTTCGGACAACAGGGCAACGTTTAATACTTTACAGTACTTGTTTGTACCACATTTTCCTGATCGTGTGCTAAGCACACGACAAAGCTCAGAAGCTCAGGAGCAGGGTTTCCCTAGTGACATAGATTAGAAACTTTTTTTGGTTAATTTTTGGATTGATTCATCTATTGTTTGTTGATTGTCTGACGCACTGATTAATTAATTAGTTAATTAGTTAATTAATTAATTAATTAATTAACTAGTTAGTTAGTTAATTAATTAATTAATTAATTGGCTAGGTCGATCGTTTGCTTGGCTGATTGATTGGTCGATTGACTGCGTGATGCAGATTGTCAGCGGTAAAATGGACGCATCCAACATGGCGCCACAAGTGAGCCGGTAGCCGCGTGAAAATCGATGACGTCATATATGCTGCTTAAAATAGCAAATCAATTAGATGTGCTGCTTGATGTAACGGGTCAACTGGATTTCTGGATTAGATCCTCACAGGTACAAACGCGCCTGTCGCGTTTCCATGGCACAAACTACTGTCGTGTAGTGGGCACTGACTCATTGTCTTCAAATTGGGATTACGTTCCCAGTGGTGGGCATCTCCTCATCGCCTCGATTGAGATTCTTCACCAGAAGATTTTCTAGTGCCCAGTGTGTAATATTTGATCAAATCCTGCATAAGTGCATTGCAAATGTGTTCATCGCAGCCATTCCGGAATTTTCCAAGATGTGAGTTGACGTTACTATATTTCACGCCGAAGAATGGCGATCAAGAACTGGATTCTGAAATTGAAAGCTGATGTACAAAGACAAAAAAGGAACCGGACTTTGTCCCCTTCCGTGAAAAACCCAGATGGGGTGCCGCCGATTCTATATCCCAAATTCGAGCAGCTCCTGTCCACGTTATTGAATTCAAATTGTGCAATAAATCTACTGAATGTGCAGCGTTTTTCTCTCAGTTGGTGAGAATATTTTTAGAAGCGCAGAACCGTCTTAAACGGGAGGGAGTCGCGTGTCTTGCGTCGCCGTCTTTCCTGCCACATTTCCTAAAATTGGAAACTTCAGCAATGATTGGAAAACGGTGCGTCACACGCACAAGGCTGTGCATGCCCGACATCACCTGCCAAATGCGGAAACTCTGTAATGCAGTGCATAGCGAAAAGGGTTATGCATCGTGCAGAGCGCACAGCGGTGCCGCATGTGAAACGAACAGATGCAGCTGGATTAGCGAATGCCGTCCATATCTGATTGTTTTGCTTTGGCCTTGGCCTGACTATTTTTGGCTGATCATGTTTGTGGTTGCGATCGACATGTGATGTGAGTTCAGCTCGTTGGCTATGCTCTTTGAGCCTTGCCTTGGGAAAAGATCCGTTAGGCTCTGTAATTTGCAGCACTTGGTGGTACCGCTTTTTCTGAAAGGGTGTCCAAATTGGATGTCAGGGCGGCGCCTCGGGCGTCGGAGGTCCGAATGCGATGCGAACTAGTGGCACAGGTGAGCGGTGCGGTGAGTAATGAGTCTTGAACAACAATTCCGTCACGGCCAAAGTGCATATATCATGTTTATGTGATGAAAATTTCGTACACAGTTCAGCATTCGTAGGTTTTTAGTCGCTGCTGATAATATGGCGTTAACAGCAGTGGCGCATGTCCAATACGTTGACCAAATGTCTCCCGCTAAGGTTTTGCGAACAGACGGCACTGAGAAATCAATCCATAGTTGGCTAGTAGTTTTCTATGGGATTGGTTGCTCATTGAATTGAACGATGATTGATGTAAAAATAATCGAATTATCAACCTTCGTTTTGTTCAATATGCCATGATAAATGCAAATTGGACAGCCCCATCCTTTTTTGTTGTCAGCTCATTTGAATATTTCTACTCACAGCGTTTTCGGGTTACTCACAGCCCGTTCCTTGAAGAATACAATTTTCGTGTTTACAAGCGACTCTGATTAGATTTCCCACCCTTATTTTCATTTCCAGTTTTGGGATTTAGGCTATGAGACTCAGGCTCATTGTTTATGAAAATAACCGGGCTGTGAATGGGCAAGGGAACGAACTTTGCATGACCCAAGAAAGGCCAAGATTTGAGCTATTTGCTACCTCTGTTCCAAAAGTCTTGTACGTTATCCAAATCGTGCAACTAGAGGTCAAAACGCGCAAGTCAGGAAATTTGACCAAAGTCCGTAGAGCCCTTAAGCGTAGAAAACGGCGCCGCCATTCTTGAGATATGGTAACAGGAGCACAGACACCACTTTCATTTTGTCGGGACTTAGATTGGGGCATGGCCAGCTGGTATTTCCCTTCGATGGAGCTGAATCAAGCAGGGATACCTTTAGGAGAAATGTATGACTTGGTGGTTGGGTATTCACAAAAGATGCAGCTAGATTCCGAACAGAACCGGCAATGCAAATGTTGTCTTTTGCCGCACAGTTTTAGCTGTTGACAATTACTGTGCGAATGTTGAGGCCAAAGGCCAAGAGACCCCTTGTTCTGGACAAGAGCATCAACCTGGTAGATGTGCAAGGGAAAGCCGTGCATGGTGTCGCTAAGCAGAAACATGGCATATGTTGTCGCCAACATGGCCAATAATTGAAATTGAGAATTTCTGAAACGCCGTTTAGCATAGTGGACGAGATGGTCCACAAAGAGTACGGAAGCTATAATGCCAGAACTCTTAAAAGGTTGTAATATTGCTTATTTTTTGTCTGCAACAAAATTCTGGAAGAATTTGGGGCTAATATGTTGGAATACAACTAGACAAAATGAGCAACAAAATGCGGGGAATTGTGGCCCCGACATAAGCGGACAGGGGCGCTTTTGATAATGCTGTGTATGTATTGCTATGTGGTGGTGACTAATATAATCAAGATCCACACCAACCCAAAATCGACCAAGGAATCCGAATCTGGCGACCGATAGGTTAGTTGAGCTGATCTTGCAAAGCTACAGGAAGATTGGATAACGGACGCGACTATTGGAACGGAGGTAGTACATAATTTTCTCCACAAAGAAAAGCCAAGCATTACGTTACTATGGGAAGGGTTTGGATATTTTAAGGTATAGCAATGCTATTACTTTTGCATTCTATCCATTATTGTGTATTTTGAGCGGTTTATTGCGCCAGTCACATCCCATCCCTGCAGAGACTCCCTGCCCAGCGTAATTTCGCCAGTGCGCTTTTCTGTCGACAATCATTGTTTGACTTTATTGGGTCTTTGAACAGCCAACCACCGCTTTAACGCTTGGGGATTTTCGGACAGGCGCCATGGACAGCATGCCGCCTGGCATGGTCGCGAGCCTGCCCCCCATGTGCTTGCCCCTGCTTGACTACACGGCCGTCAACGCCGGTCTGTCCCCGGGTGGGAGCCCCCCCGGGCTCAGCAGGCAAAGACTGTTTGTCGTCGTGTACAAGGTGAGTGCTGCGCGCTCTTGATCAGCGCAGCACGATCATTTACTGGGAGCGGAGTTGGGTTTAGTGAACGCTATGTAATTAAGGAATTCATCCTCCCCATCATCATAAAAATCCATCGATTGCATTCGCCATGAAATGGGAAAACGCAGCCCTTGCACCTGATAGGCGATGATGGGCGTGAACACCAAACGAAGCGTCCGACAGGCAAGTTCATCAGCAACGGTATGACGTCATCATGGTGCCAACGTGTGGCGTCATCACAGCGCGACCTGATGTGGCGTGAGAGCGTGGCTTGCGCAGGGAGTCAAGTCGGAGGAGCTGTCCAGGATGTTCCGGGTCTTTCCGGGCATGGAGTACTGCGATTTGAAGAAGGACAAGAAAACTTGCAAATCCAAGGTCAGCGGAGAATAGAAGAGCTCCCTATTGGCTAGATGGTGATTGGCCGAGATGATGTTATTGTGCTCAGTTCCAGTCAAATGACCTGATCCACAGGTTGGCTTGCAAGCCGAAGGCCGCCAGGGAATGGCAGATTTGCCAGATTCGCAAGATCGTGCGTGGTCAGAATGAGCTGATGGTGGCGCCCATGAAAACCTCGAATGAAGTGCACTAATTTATTGGCTGACCTCGCCCTGGTCCATTTTGGATATCCCCACCGCCACCTGACGGCCAATCAGAACGCACATTGCATGCTGAACAATCTCTTGCCAAATGCCAGTATATGACTCAGTATCCTACAATGTCAAGTTGCCCCACTTTTGCCTGAAAGGGCGTTACTGCACACCAACCGCACGGGAAAGTACACAGAACGTCCCCCGCGTCCGAAGCCCGTCTGAAGCCAACAACCCCGGAAATCGTACAGTTGCCAACCGCATCGAAAACCATGACAATGCGATACGATATGTGGGATACGATGCGATGGGCCATGTGTTATTTGATCTGCAACACATATATTCCGTGAGATACGACATTGGTATGATATGATACAGACCTAATCTCAACATGACATTGACACGATGCTGATTCAGCATTCTTTTTTGCTTCACATTTTTAACAGATGCACTATGCTCAGTACTTAACAGCGCTTGCTTACCCCTCTGTTTTTCCTGAAAGGATGGTTGGTGCAATACTGGTCCAATACCGCCCATCACCGCGCATCAGGTGCACGGGCTGCCTTTTGCCACTGTATGACAAATGCAATCTATGGATTCGCACTGTTCCGGACACTGGCCAGAATGGACCAAATAACACTTTTGTGAACACAAATATATGCATTTCATCAGTTTTTTGCATGCTTTCAACACGGAAATAACCCAAACCCGTAAACTCTGTACACGTGTGAACACGTGTTTATTTGGCCCTTTTTTCTAGTGGGAGCAGTGAAAAACAGGTCGAAGCACACAGTTCTGAAGACAGTGTACCATGTACCACGACTGAAAATCGTATAAAAGTCGAGGCAAATCTTCTATTTCTCGTGTATTTATCGTACAGAAAGGGGACCAAGTCGTGTAGTGACGATTGAGTGGGTGTACATGATCTCCACAAGTTTCGGCACGGGTATGGCTTCCGCACGATGCGCAACCGCATACTTTGGCCCACTTTTTTTATTGCGTCTGATGCTGACGCAACATTGCGGCCTCCCAGGGCTACTGCTACGTCAACTACTCCACCCACGAGGCGGCCAAGGCCGCCATCCAGGCCCTGAATGGCATCGAGTTCCCGCCCCACTCCGGCCACCGCATGAAGGTCATGTTCGCGGAGCCCCTGGGCGTCAAGAGCGCGTCGCCGTCCCCGGGAGCGGCCGGGCCCGCGGGCCCGGCGTACCAGGGGACGCCCCGGCCGGGATGCGGCGGGGCGTTGGGGCCCGCGGGCGCCGGGCTGCCGGGCCAGGGCGACCTGCCCACGAGGGCCTGCGAGGGCGGCGAGAGGGGCGCAGGAAGCGGTGGGTGGCGAGCTCCTTTTTCTTTCACCCTTTGTCTTTGTCTTTGTCTTTGTCTTTGTCTTTGTCTTTGTCTTTGTCTTTGTCTTTGTCTTTGTCTTTGTCTTTGTCTTTTGTCTTGCTCCTTTATCATGCTTTTGGTTCGAAATACAACATTGTGAACGGGGCGCAGGAAGTGGCGAGTGGTTCACTTATTCGATTCGACAATGTGACGTCGTGTTCCAACGCCTGGGTGCCTCCCTGTCCCAACGAGCACATCGCTGAAACGCTTTGCAATGCAAACGCGATGCGTTTGACACAGAGTAGCGCCGTCGCAGCGCCGGCGATGAAAGTAGTTTTTACACATTGTTGTGTGTGGCTTTTACACGACTTTTACACATTGTCAATCGTGACACTCGCTGCACGATTTCCCCAGCTGTGCATTTTGGCCTTTTTCTCCTAGTGAAATGTGTTCGCATCAAGTTAAATGCTCAGTCTCGGGAAAAGTGGCTGAGCACTCTGGTGGGCCTTGCCATACAAGACATCGAGGCCTATCGCACTGGTTGGATTGTTGATTCTAATGAATCAAATAGAGAGAAACCTGTCGTTATCTGACGACTAGATTAAGCCTAGACGTCACATAACGTCAAATCTTGTAGAACTCAGCAGCGGCACGAGACACAACCAATGTGCTGCGCCTTCGCGCTGCCTTTGAGAACACATTAAGTGAATTTACAGCATTCATATATAACACGTATTCACGTATTTACTATTCACTATTTATTTGTACATCTATGTGTCAAATAGACCGACAATTTGTTTTCGTTCACGTCCCATTGGCTTCATTCCCCTCCGCAGGCGCCGCGCCCTGCCTGGACGGCGAGCCGGCCCACGAGACCAAAGTGTTCACCATGCTCACCCGGCACCTCCCGGACTACGCCATCCGCCACGTCTTCGCCAAGTGCGGCACCGTCGAGTACGTGCGGCTCCAAAAGGACGGGCGCTTCGGCGTGGTAAAGTTCGCCACACCGGAGGCTGCCACGGCTGCGGTGCAGATGCTCAACGGGACTGACATTTGTGGGGAGGCCCTTACGGTCTCGGCGAGCCCCATTGTCCCCCAGGCCCTCCCGGATCAACCCCCTGGCGTTACCACAGCATGACGCATGACGCGTTGCGCGCGAAATTGTGACGGGGCGTGACAGCGGTGGCTCAGATGCTCGACGGCACGGACGTTTGTGGAGAGGCCTTGTCGGTCTCCGCGAAGCCAATTGTCTCCCCGGCCCCCCTGGATGGACCCCGGGGGTGACCGCAGCGTGACGCGTTACTCGTTACGCGCCAATTGTGACGGGCGTCATGGCAGGGGGAGGCGGCGGGAGCGCTGGTGCGAATAAAGTACGCGGTGCTTTTTTTGTGGGGTCTGCGGGCGTTTTGGGACGGGTGACGCGAGGATGGGGTGACGCACTCGTGAGGGGATATCGGTATCGTACAGCCGGGTGTGACGGGCTTTTTTTTGCTTTCCTTGCGTTTTCTTCTATTTTTTGCCTTTTTGGCGCTTTTTTGGGGGTGGGGATCGATATGTTGAGAGGAGAATGGCAATTGGGAGAGACAACAACAGATTGACTGGGGGAGAGGCAGTGCCCTCAAGAGCGAGTGTTGGTCGGCGTAGGCGCGTCATAAGATATACATCAGGAATGGGAAGCTTGCAACTAGGAACTACACGTGCTGGTAATGTGAACTCCCACTGAAGGGCATGCTCATTGTGAGGCAAGAAGGGGCCAACGCGCCAAGACTGCCGCTTTCAAGACTGTTATTCCCTAGGTATCCTCAACCTTAGTCATAGACCCCGGGTCCTAAGTCCTGTACCTGTAGCTTAGGGTTCGGCCACTGTACTGGGGATGCTACCACATGGTTACGGGGGCTGAGGCGACAAGGGGCAAGTGGAGAGAATCCTGCAATGGAACACTTGGTGTGAGATACTTTTCAGATCTTAGATCGCTGAGATACTTTAGACATTTGGATCTTTTAGGTCTTCCAAATTGTTTTGAGGCAGCTTGGTTGGGCTGTCGCCACACAAGGATGGTGCCAAGCCCCTTGGGTGTTACCGAAGGGGTCATTAAGTCGATCAGGGCGGCAGGCACTCGGGCCAAAGGATCCGTCAGCGAGCTGGGGCGCTCGCCCAATCCCAGCCAGGGCTCGGCCCCATGGCCTGCTTGGAGCCCCATTTGATCGATTCAATCAATTGGAAAATTTGATTGATGTCTGAGATCCAGGTAGGCGCAATTGTTCAATTTCATTGCGATTTTGGCAGCACCCGAATTGAGAGGCCATTTTCCAGGGGTTGGGATGAACAGGGTTGTGGGGACTTGGGGCGGTGGAAGGCAAACGGGTTGGCCTTTTGAGGTGCCCATCGCGAAGGCATAGTCCGGGGCTTGTCAAATCGGAGGAATTTGCGGATGAGCTGTCGGCTTGGTGAAAGTCGGCACTTGGCGCACCGCACGTTTTGTGCTCCTTGGTGCATTTGATGAAGGGGTTTTATTGGGTTGTACTATTCGGAGCAAGCCGACCTTCGACAATCCAGGATGTAGCATTATGTGGGCGTAACAAGCCAACGTATCCCGAAGTTTTCTATTCACGACTCGAGAGAAGGAGCCACCTGCGGAAAGGCAGATGCATTGGCTGGCAATGACAGTGGCCTCCCATTGCTGCCTTTTTAACGACCTTGTGTCACGCAGCGACGCAATAGCGGAGTAACGGAGCGGCAGGGGCTGCCGGTTACCATTACTAACTTTTGAACGGCATGTGTAACGCAACAACGCAGCAACGCAGTAACGCAGTAACGCAACAATGCAATAACGGGGTACTGGAATAGCGGGACGCG